CATTGAGAATTTCATATGATGCATTTTGATCATATCCTACTGCTCTTCCCTGATTAAATCCTCCCTCCCTGCCTACTCAATTTTGTGTCCTCATTTTTTCTTTAAATTCCATCCACTCAAATCTGTGTTGCCACCAACAGAATTTTGTCTACCTATGCGGGGCTACATACACCCTTAAAGAAAACTGGCTCTCCCTCTACCAGCAGCAATGATTGTCAGTAACTCCTTGGCTAGGGTGGGACTTCAGGTTCACCTCTCCTCTTCATGATGGGCTTTTCTCTGGCTTGAACTCACACAGGTCTTGTACATGCTAACACGACTGCTATTGAGGTCAGATGTACCACTACTCTGTTTTGTCCAGAAAACACTGCTTCCTCGTAGTTATCCACTGCTTCTGGTTCTTATAGTCTTTCTGCCTCTTCAGCTGCAGTGATACCTGAGCCTTGGGAGGGAGTATGGCAGATAGGTGTTTCATTTAGGACTCAGCATTTGGGCAGAGGCCAGTTGTGGGTCTCTGTCAATTACCATATACTACAAAAAGAAGTTGCGCTGATGAAAGATAATAGATACACAAATCTATGGACATAATGAAAGAGATAGGCAAGTCATTAGGAGTCAGTTTAATACTGACCCCAATGGGTATTCTAAATGAAACATGCATATGTAAATATTTATCACTAGTATCTACAAATGAGAGAAAGCATGCGGTATTGTCTTTTGGGGTCTGGTTACCTCACTTGGAATGACTGTTTCCAGCTCCATCCATTTATCTGTGAACTTATCACTTTACTTTTATCAACTAAATAAAATTCCACTGTGTAAATGTACCACATTTTCATTTCCTGTTCATCAACTGATGGACAACATCTAGGTTGTTTACCTTTCTCTGGCAATTGGGAATAAGGCAGCAAATGAACATGGATGAGTGAGTGTCTCTGTAGTAAGAAAAGAATCCTTGGGTTTATTCCCAGGACTGGTATAATTGGTTCATATTATAATCTATAATTGGTAGATTTATTTCTAGCTTTTTGACAAAGGAACAGCTGCACTGATTTCTATAGTTGGCTGTATCAGTTTGCACTCCTACCAGTTGTGAAAACCTTTCCACACATCCATGCCAGCATTTGTTTTCATTTTTAAAACCTCATCCATTCTGACTAGGGTAAGATGAACTCTCAGAGTAGTTTTAACTTGTATTTTTCTGATGGCTAAGGGTAATCGAACATTTAAAAAACTTTACTAGCCATTTGGTTTACATGTTTTGGGAACTATCTGTTTAGTTCCATTGCTGTGGATATCGCTCTGTATGCTATGAATGTGTTGCTCTGATTGGTTAATAAATAAAGTGCTGATTGGCCAGTAGCTAAGCAGGAAGTATAGGCAGGACAAGCAGAGAAAAGAATTCGGGAGGAGTCAGGAGTCACCAGCCAGACACAGAGGGAGCAAGATGTAAAGATACTGGTAAGCCACGAGCATCATGGCAAGGTATAGATTTATAGAAATGGGTTAATTTTAGTGCAAGATCTAGCTAGCAAGAAGCCCAAGCCATTAGGCCAAACAGTTTTAATTAATGTAGGCATCTGTGCATTTACTTGGGTCTGAGTGGCTGCAGGAGCCCGGTGGACACAGGAAAACTTCTGGCTACATTCCATGCCCCATTTTTTTTATTGGGTTGACTTCTTTGTTGTTGTCATTTTTTTAGACACAGTTTCTCTGTGTAGCCCTGGCTATCGTTGAACTTGCTTTATAGATCAGGCTGACCTCGAACTCACAGATATCGCCAGCCTCTGCCTGCCACGTCCTGGGATTAAAGGTGTGTGCCACCATTGTCCAGCTGGGTTGCTCTTTTGCTTGATGTTTGTTTTTCTCATTAGTTAGTTAGTTAGTTTGTTTGTTAGTTTTAATATTCTAGGCAGCAGCCTTCTGTCAACTGTATAACTACTAAAGGTTTTTCCCATTCTGTAGCCTGAATCTTTCTCCAATGATGTTGTCCTTTGCTGTACAGCAGCTTTTCAGTTTCATATGGTCAGTGTTGAAATCCTTTCCTAGTATGAGACAGTGGGTTTGAATCCAACACTTAAGTCTTGCACTTCATTTATACTATAGCCATATTCACATCAATGCATACAGTGCTAGTAAGTATGTTATGCATTACTCTCAAACATAGTACATCCCTTTCTTTATTTTCTTGCCTTAAATGTGCACATCACTTGGTAGATTTATTACTATATTTGCAATCCAAATCAATCATATCTTAACTTTCTTTCATAAACCATTGCATGTTCATTTCTTACTAGTATTTATCTAGAAATTTTTTAGATTTATCTAGAAATATTTTATAAGACATATACTCTTTACATATTAAGTATAAAACTTCGTATTGTTTGCTTTTTGAGGCAGAATTTTTCTGTAGCTTTGTCTGTCCTGGAACTTGCTCTGTAGACTATGCTGGCCTCAAACTCACAGAGATCCATCTGCTTCTGCCTCCTAAGTGCTGGGATTAATGGCATGGGCCACCACCACCTGGCATAAAACTTTTTTAAAGGACTAGAGATATAGCTCAGATTTTTTTCATTGTTTTAACTTATTGTTTTTCTTTATTAAGAAATTTCTATTTGATTGATGGTGGCGCACACTTTCAATCCCAGCATTCAGGAGTCAGAGCCAGGCAGATCTTTGCAAGTTTGAGGCCAGCCTGGTCTACAGAGCAAAATTCTGAACAGGCACCAATACTACACAGAGAAACCCTGTCTTGAAAAACCACACACACACAAAAAAAAAAAACATAAAAAATTTCTTATTCATTTTATATAGCAACCACAGACCCTCTTCTCTTCTCTCCTCCTCTCCCCCAGCCTCCCCACCAATCCATCCCCCCCCCCTCAGTCCCTCTTTCAAAAAGATAAGGCCTCACCTGGGAAGTCAGCAAAGCCTGATACATTCAGTTGAGGCAGGTCCAAGCCCCTTCCCCTGCATCAAGGATGTTGAAGGTGTCCCACCATAGGTAATGGGCTCTAAAAAGTCAGCTCATGCACCAAGGATGGATCCTGATCCTATTGCAGGACAGGATCACACAGGATATGGACATGAACACAGTTCCTGGCTGTCTTTGCAACATCGACCCAGACATGGTCCTAGACTGCAACCCAGGCCTGTATGTGACCATGGGCCTGGTTGACAGTGTAGGTCACTCAGATTGGATTGGACCCAGCAGCACCATGTGCACAGGTAGTAGCCCAGATTCCAGGCATCTTCACTGTCTTTGATGGCCACAGGAGCCTGAGACATCAACACAGACCCTGGCTGCAACAGGGCCATGGACCCAGACACAACCCTCAGCAGCAGCCCTGGTTCAGATGTCATTATGGTCCTAGGTGGCAGCACAGGCTTCTAAGACACACATGCTCTTTTGGGGGGCATATCCTTTTGACAACAACATGGTCATAGGTGGTGGCCTAGATTGCAGGTAGCTGCAAGGCCCTCACTAGTAAAAGGAGATATGGATATCAACATAGACTTCCACAGCTTCCTCAGGGCCATGGACAGGACATGGCCCTTGGCAGCAGCCCAGGAAAAGACATTGTCTTAGCCCCAGGTGTCAAGTATGCCATGGATTTATTTAATGCTCCCTTAATCCATGTTTTCATTTCCTGAGAGGCTTTAGAGCAATACTGTTGTTTCTCATTAATTGGGTGCTCATGATCATTTCAGGAAATGTGTATAAAGAATAATATTGTTGATGGAAAGCTAAATATATGGACACAAAGATACAGTATTAATAGTTTCCCAACATACAATGGATATCCACAACCTAAGCCCTGTGTAGGCCTGGCTGACTGGGAACTCAATATATAGCAAAAGCTAGGCCCATAAGAGTGTTCTGATGTTACAGGAGTTTCTAGGGCTACTAGAGTGAGACAACACACCTGACCAAAGAAATTGGTTCTAAGACAGAAAAGTTCAAAATCACTTTATTATTAATAAAAAATGCAGTTATTTTACTAAATAGGGGCTTAAGTAGAACAGTCAACATAAACAGTGAATATCCTTATCAAAATACCTAAACAACAACAAGAACAAAAGAAAGAACAAGTAAATAGCAAAAGCTCAATCTATAACAAAGAAAAGCAAAACAAACCAAAGCAAAGAAAACTCAACCAAAAACAAAACAAAACAAAAATTAAGGTCAGCAGCATTCTCTTGCTGCAGAGTTAGAGTTAGCAGCACAGACCTACAGCCTGTGGCTGGCCTTGGACACATGGTTAGAAGGCAGTCAGCTATTGTGAAAAGCCTTTTCAAAGCTAGTACAGCCATGCCTCGTTTAGGCTTTGAAGGCTAAGTTGTCACAGTGACAAAGAATGAGACATTTCCTAGAGCAAACGCTGTGCCCCTTGGGAAGCTTTTGATAAATTATCACCCACTACTGATCCTGTAATGTCTTGGTCTTCTGAGTGTCTTCTGAGGAGGAGGTCTTGATCGGAGAGTATAGAATGTCATAGGTTCAAGGCATCTGTGGTTTCGTTGGCCTCCTCAGTTCTCCCAAGATCTGCTATATGAGAGGAAAAGGCAATCAGAACCAGAAGCAGCCTGGCTGGGCCACAGGCCAGACAAAACCAAGACTGGAAGCCAAGGTCAAGAGCCCCCAGTCTCCCACCAACGCCATCTTTGCTGAGGGTGGATGCAATGGTGGTTCACTTGCCTGTGAGACTTAGTACTCCTGCTGCAGCAGCTCTGTCTGCAGGAGGCTCTCTTCCTGGGCTGTGGCCTGTTCAAACTCATACTGGAGATTTTCTGACCTAGAGAAGGAAGGCAGTTAGGGACCAGGCCTGGTGGGGACCTACCATGTCAGCTATTGAGCCTGAACCAGATCTAGTCAGCTGGACACTCCAGCATGACCTTTCAGCTGAGGTCATTCCCTGCATTCCCCAAGGGAGAAGGGTCAGAATGTACCTGGGCCTTGATTTTTTTCTCAGCTTTAAAATCTGCTAGAAGATGAGCTGAAAAATATAGTGTGCTGGGCAAGAAAATACAGCACATTTCTCCAGTGAGTAAAAAAAATAACAATGTAGTAATGACTAAGTAACAGTTCATGGCAGATATACATGGCCCTGATTAGATACAGGTGAATGTGAGCAACCTTGGAAATTGAATATAGACCCTCTAGGGGAAGCCTACAAAAGAAAAGCAGTGAAGGATCTGATTATTGCTAAAGAACAGAAACTGGCCTCGGTTCAACTCCTCAACTCCTAAATCTTCTTATAATAGAAAAATCTTTTCACAGGAAACAGATTCACACTGCAGAGAGCCTGTAATCTGCAGGAGTGTGCTGCATGCAGATCTGCGCGAAGGTAGGAACTTCTCTCTAAAGGTGATGTTCTGGAAGGAAAATAAAGTGGCAGGAGCACACACTGTCCTCCACAACTACCCCTCCTCCTGCTAGGATGAGGACTACCATAGGGATATTTGTGTGGAGAAACAGGGGACACTGAGAAGATTCCAGAGAGCTCAGATGGGAGTAAGGGGTAGACACTCCCCAGAAACACTAAGGATCAAACATAGTGTTTCCTGGAGAGGTTCTTGTTGGCCAGGCCAATACAATATCCTGAGGCATTCTTTCTCTTGCTGTGGCTTGGAGCTATTCAGATGGTGGGAATCCCAAAAGGACAGAGATCCGGGGACAGGTGACTCATATGATTCTAACCACTCCTCCCAGCTTGGGCTCCTACCTCATCTCAGAGTCACTGAAGTGATGTTGCAGCTTTTCTACCAAGTCCTCTTGCAGGGTGACCAGCTCCTTCTGCTTCAGCAGGCCCTTCAGTCTTTCATCCAGGCTCTCTTGCTCCTGTTCATTAGAAGTCTGTGTTCTCAGTGGAGGCTTGCTCACTCACATCCACACACATAAATTCATGAACACACACAAGTACATGTATGCACACATACAAGCACACTGTAATGCAGTAACATGTTTAGCTTCATAGTTCATGCTAACATAAGAAGCAACCACCAGGGATACTAATGAAAAGAAGGTAAACCTGTTGGATGAGAGAAGAACAGAGAGGGCAGGAGAGATAGGCAGTTCAGTCATTGAAGTGTCTATCCTGCAACCTAATGCAGAGACAGGTAGCTCTCTGGGGTCCTCACCCCTTAGCCAACCCTACTTAGGAAGTTCCTCAGATTGTGCAGTATAGGAATATTTGGTGGACTACCCCACTGGTCTTGTTCACTGTTTCCCAGTTGCCCCCAAAGCAAGCAACTTCCTTCAAAAGGGGCTCCCTTTAATTTACCACAGGTTGCCTTACTTTGGACCAAAACAAAGAGGTCAGGAATCTAGAAAATTCTTCATAACCAGGATCCAAAAGAAACAGTTCCTTCCTGTGAGGTGATTTGCGAGGGATTTGTTTGAATAGCAAAAGGCTGAATAAGTCAGTGCCAAATGATTCTATGTATTATTTTATGCTGAACAATATTCCATTGAAGAGCCTGACCACATTGTGCTTTCTCAATCTTTGAATGATCAAAGTATGAATGAAGCATCACCAGGCTACTCTCAGGAATGCTGATAAACCCCTGATGTCCCCTAGCTTCTCTGTGGACACCTACTTCATGATCTGGAATCACTGGGTCACCTGGGGATTGCAGTTTAACTTTCTGAAGACTTGTGTGTGGTTTTGCTCTGTGCTATACGATTTTACACTACCAGCAATGTCTGAGGGTCCTCATTTCTCCAAAGCCTCCATGAGGCTGATTTTAACTCAGAGTAAACAACTTTGAAGAAAAGAATTTACGGAGTGCTACAGACATAGCACATGGTGAGTCCTATACCCTCAGGAATCTAAGTGGGATGCACTGAGATAGCCCCATTCTCACACCACAGCATGGCTAGGGGACTTCCGCTGGACTGAGATGCAGTTGGAAGCATACTGCAAGTCAGAATCTCTCAAGAACTAACATCCAGCCCAAGCTCCAAGGGCAAGGTTAACTGAGCCAAGGTTAGGGAAAGGGGAAAAGCAAGTGGTAGCAGACAATGTGGATGAGGACAAAACAGGATATAGAGAAGATACAGCAAGCCACCTGACCATTCAGTTTTCAGTCACCATTCACCCAGAGCAGTGAAGGGAAACAAACCCTCAGCCAGGCTATCCTACCTCTCAGACACCTTGATTTGCCACAGTGACCTCCTCCTAAACTTCATGTACCACATTCCTTTGGTTTGCTCCAAGGATTTCTGGGCAGATAAATATTTTTTTGCCTCTACAAATACCTGAAAACCATTGAGTTTCAGTACTTTTTGTGTCCCTTTGTTCTAGTGAGCAAGGAGGACATGGAGAAAGTTGGGCAGCAGCATACAATATTTGATGGATGCCAAGTGAGGGGGCACAATACTTTTTCAATGAAGTTGGTTACATCATCATTAAAGATGAGTAAGTAAACATACACATATGCAGAAATACACACACACACACACACACTCACACACAAGAGGTTAAACTCCACACAATAGAGATAGCCTTACACCTAAACACCTGTACTCAAAGACACACACAAATACTTACCCCTATACATACAGGAAACGTGTATACACACACACACACACAAAGGAGCACTACTGTGCAAGCAATAGACAGTATTCACATACACAAACACACAAAGGAGTACTACTGTGCAAGCAATAGACAGTATTCACATACAAACACACACATAGAAGTTCACACACACACATACACACAAAGATGCACAGAAAAGCATAATATACCACATATGACACCCCAACACACACACACACACACACACACACACACGCACGCACGCACGCACGCGCGCGCACACACACACACACATACACACACACACTTTCTGAACCTAGAATGGTCAGTGAGAGAAGACTGTTGCCTTGCAGCACCTTTTCTGATGCATATAGAGGTAGCGGGTCCTCTATGCTGTCTACAAGGTTCTTAGACTCAGCAAGGCTCTGCTACCCCGGCCTGCACTTAACTTTTCCTTGAACAAACTTTATTCATCACAAAAACCCCTGACTCCACATTATCCAAGTTAACCCATCATAGTCTCTTCACTCAACTTATCCTGGCTCCTCCACAAATGACCTTGATAACCCAAGAAAAAGAAAGTGACACATGGTCAACACCAGGAAGTTTTCAACAGAAGACAGTGCATATGATATGAATGCAGCCCAATGTCAGTCAGAAGGAGGCCAGTGACATCACCTGCAGTGCTTTTCAGGAACCCAGCACTCTGCAAAACTATGAGAGGGAATCTGTTCTGAGACACAGCCATGCACATGATATAGTCAGCAACACAATGTCAGCAAGGAGATGCACTGTGGGAGTCTCTGTTGAGAAGCCAGGTCAAACCAGACATTTCCTGTGGTCTTAGCTCTGTGCAGTGAAAGGAAAGAAGCCTACTGTTTATTTTTAAATAGATTTATTGATTTTTGTTATTTATTAGAAAACACATTAGTATCAAAACAATAAAAGTAAATAAGCAGAAGAGAAAGCAAATATGTCCTTCCTCTTTCTGAGCAATTGAAACTTCTAACATTAGATTAGAAAAAGACAGAAGGTCTACTTTGGAGGTCTGGAGATCCTAAGAGTGCTGACCAGCCAGATTAGCCCAAACAGAAAATTTCAGGTGCATTGAAAGCTCTGGGACCAAGGGAACAAGGGAGTGAGCAACAGATGACAACATGGAATTTCATTATGTAGTCTCTGAACACACCAACCAATATATACATTTATACATGCCTGTATAGGTCACACACAGACCACAGAAATAGGAAGTGAGCAGAAAAAAGTGAAGAGTACATATGCTGAATGAACAGTTGAATTTAAAATATCCACATCAGGTGTTTCAACTGAGAACCCAAACACGACTATCCATTCCTTGGGGCCTAGAAAATTCCTAGCAGAGCACACAGCTTAGTCAGACTATGTTGAGGGGATTGGAAAAAATATTTTCTTGCAGATTCAAATCTGTCATTCCAACCCTCAGCCTGTCAAAGTCTTCCCACATCTATGGTCATCCAGTCAGTTCCAGACTGGAAGCTCCAGAATGGGAGACCAGTCAAGTACCATGCCCAGAAAAAAGGACTGAGAAGGTGCTACTCAGACATCTGTCACTATGAACCAAGAGCTTGGCAAAAGAAAGAGAACACATTGGGATGCAGGAATTAAGGAGAAGACCACATGCTACCCAAAACGTTGACAATGAGAACCACTCACTTGGCACTGGCACTGGGATCTAGTCCTTGAAGCCTGCTTCCTACCTGTGATCTCACATGACCCCTGCAAAGCAAATGAGCCACAGGCCACTGACATCATCAATGAAAGCTTTGTGTTGTTGCCAAAGTAGCTCCCTGCGTAGCAGCCCTCTGATCATAATGACATGTATGTGTGTGATATGTGACTGACCCATCTCTCTGAATGTACTGCAGCTTCTGACATAGCAGGAGGGTTTGCTTGACAATTATCCAGATTCTTGAAAGAGGCTAACTCGCCAGAAAGACTTGGGAATGATCATAGAAATCAACACTTGGATGGTATGGAAGTGGGGGTCTGGATGAGTATGGATGGTATATGGTGTCTCTATGTTCATGGTTGTACAGGTGGGCACCTACCCCTGCTGTCTCAGCCTACCTGCTGCTGCTCAGCAGAAGGGTCACAGATCATCTCATGAGCCTCCTTCAGTTGCCTCTTCAGCTCCTCACAGGACTCTTGCAGTTTAATCTGCTCCTTCCTCAGCAGTCTGTTCTTCAGTCTCAACAAATGTACATTCTTCTTCAGCTGAATACAATCTCGGAGGACCTGGCTGTGGAGGTAACTGAACAAACACCAAAACATGGTGAGCATCAGCCAGCCTCCTTTGCTATTCCTATCTCCAAGTGCAACCAGCCCTGAAAAGTCTGAGACTCACAGAAAGCCCACAAATGGGGTTCTCAGTAGCCAAGACAGCATCACTTAGATACAGGCCAAATCCTGAGAGTAACCAAATTCCAGAAAGATTCACAATACTTCTGAAAACCCTGATTCCAAAAGGGATACTGTCCCCCTAAAAACAGGGTGCAACCTACACCTGTGTTTCCCTGTACATGGTATGGGAAAACATCAGCAGGTAGAGGGCAAACAATCTCAGAATGGGGGAAGAAGCCACAACCAGAATCAATTCTGTCCTTGGCTCCCATAGAAACAGCTCTGGGAAGCCCTGGTCAGAACCCCAGAGGTACTAGGATACCTGACACTCCCTCCATGGTGCAAACCATTTTTCTATCAAGGGTCTCCCAAGGATGACAGGACAATGATTGGAAAGTCAGTGTCTTTTCACATTTGGCTAAACTGAGTCCAAGAGGCACAAGGCCAGGGACCACATGTCAGACTGCTTGCTAAGAGGCAGACACGAAAGAACCAGATCCCTAACTTTGAGTGAAAGAGAAAGATAGCAAACAAAACAAAACAAAACAAAACAAAAAACAAACAAACCAACAAAAACCAAAAAACGCCCCTCCCAAGATAAATCAGGCACATACCTATAGGATACATTCTCCTCAATCAGCTGTTTGACCTTGTTCACACTGTCACTGATCTCCATGGGCATTTTCTGCAAGTCTGACATCACCTGTTTATGCTCCTTTTTCAGCATCCCAAAAGAATTCAGCCTGTGGTAGGGCATGGCCCCAGGAGAAAAGGACCCCATGAACACAGGCCACAAGGATCATATGGAATCAGGCTATGTTCTGGACTCCCCAGCCCCATGGAAGCCACAGCCTGGCACTTATACACTGGGACCTCCTGGTGCTTATTAAACTTCCTATCATGTCCCCAGGCCAGAAGAAGAAGGAGTTATCCATGACTGCATGAGCACCCTCAGTGGATTTGAAGCTATAGATGATCTCTCTAAGAAGACCCCAGGAATCTGTGCCACATATCCGGTGCTACCAGAAACCTATGGTGACATTTTTCCTGTCTTTATAACAGGGATTCTTGTGCCTGGGTACTCCTCCTTATACACAGAGGACCAGCGCATACAGGGAGGAGTCCCAACTTCAGGAAGGCGTTATAAACTCCACAGAGGATTCCAGTGTTCCACCAAAGTGAGAACAGTGGCCAAGACCCGAGCTTCTCAAAGTGGAGCTCTCTGGCGTCATCACTGGCATCCCCTGGAAAATGTGAAAATGGCAAATCCTCAAGTCCTGCCACAGACCCTAGACACCCAGGAGTATACACACACACCCTCCTGCCCTCTAACACATACACACACACACACACACACACACACACACACACACACACGCATGCACACACGAACAAACGAACGAATGCACGTGTACACACACACACATACAAACACACATACACACACACATGCACGCATGCGCACACACACACCACATATACTCAGAATGCCCACGAAATACAGACAGTTTTCACTGTCTCATTATAGGGAGGTGCCAAGAAAACTATCAGGCTATTACTTCCTACACACACAAACACACCACATACATTCAGGTTACCCATGAAATGCAGGTAGGTGGAACTGCCTCAAAGTATGAGGAGCAGGACAAGGGAGAAGTAGTGATAAGCATCAGGCCTTCCAGCCACAAACTGAGATGGATGAATGGGACAAGGTCCATTCAGCTGCTGGTCATAATCATTTGCTGGTCAAGTCAAAGACTCACTACAAACTCACAGAACCTAGCATCTCCCACAAGCCAACACTGGTCAAGGCCTCTTGAAATGCATGTTGAGAGCTCACATGCTACTGTCCCTATCCTCAGACTGTGATTCAGGCCACAGGCTCTGCTTTTCATTTGGATGAATAAGAATAGCCTGTGTCCCCATCTCACATGTACCCAGGTTCCAAATTCTGTGCACTCAGGAAAATTCGTTTAGGCACCAGGACACCCTGGAGATTCAGCCTCCTGTTCCTCAGGAAAGCTTAGCTACACATTGTGGGATCAAGATGGTCAGCAGAGACCTGCACATAATGACTATCTGTTCTGCAAATCCTTGTCTATATAAGTGCCCAGGATCCCATGCAGTTCAACTTGCTCGTATGTTATACTCTGTAGCTAAGTCCTCATCACATGTACCAGGACAAAAGTATCTGAATGTCTGAGAGTTTGGTGGATTGTCAGGGGATTTTCCTTCCCTTCTTATTGGCATCCTATTCCCATGGAAACTGATGGAATCCACTAGGATGAAGTGCAGCAACACACTACCCAGAGAAGGACACCTAATTCATCACCACTTTCCTCCCGATGACCTTGCTTTCCACTCAGAAAGAGATTAAGGATCTCACAGAAAAGCCACTTCAGGTTTGAAAATTCATGGCTCTCCCAAACTAACCATCAGAAATTGGTGACTCTGGTTCTGCCTTTAGGAACCTAAAGAAACAGGATAAGCCCATTGCTTACCAGAAATTCACAGATGCTAAACCCCACTACTGGAAAGCTCAGCTCAAGCTTCACTTCCTCCAGAAAGCTCCCACTCTCCTTCCTATGACTCACAGTGCCATCCCAAGAACCATTTATTTCTCCATGTTTGACACTGAGACTGAAGCCCAGCTTCTTGCACCTCTCTCTGGTCTCCCGTTGTTCTCCATTCTCTCTCCCAAGCAGCCTTCTCAGTCTTGCTGAAATGTCTATGGGCAGTGTAAGAATACCCTACAGTAGCTTGGTGTTCCCACAACACAAGTAACATAAAGGAAATGCCAAGGACTCTCCAGAATATAATAGCTTGCCCTGAGAAGGAACTATTGGGTTCACCAGCAGTTGCCCTCATCTACCTACAAACTACATCTTCTGCAATTCACTGGAAGCCATACTGCCTTTCCCAGGAGCCTTCCCAAAAACACAAGGGAAGACCTTCATCACCTCATTACAAACCCAGGTATCTCTTTGTACTTCTTTAGATTATATTCACTACTTCATGTACAGTTGAAGACTCACTTCCAAAAATATCCCAGGAATAGGCTCATCCAACTCATGAATCCTCTAGTCAATAACACAAGAAAAAAAATATTTCTAGGTAACTAAGTAAGGATGGTGTGGAGGAAAGTTCAGTCTCCTGAAAGCAACAAACACATTGTGGAGGATGCACAAGTCTGTTAGTGTGATGGCAGATTGTGGATGTCTTGTCAGAACAAAGTTAAGTCCCATAGTTGAGGAAAATTGCCCCTGAACTACAGAAGAATTCATTCCAGCCATTGTAGATATCTAAAGTGTGATTAATTAGTGACATGTGAGGCTGGAGATATAAGAACCAGAGTTCCCCAGGGGAGCCCTCAGACACAAGAGCAAAAACTCCCATGAAGAATGATGGGCTATTCCTGCATTAAAATTTGAAGAAAGATGAATAGCTATTGAGAGGCCACAAACAGATATGCAATGGCATTTACAGAAAATCAAATGTGTCATAGTCATGGGGATAGTATGTAGTGTGTCACTACTGTGGAACTTCATCTAGAGCTATATGAAAGCCAAATTCCTTGACTGGACACACGCGTGACAATGTGCATGCCCTTAGGAAAGGTGACACAGCCAGCTTAAATTATAACATCCATTGGATCATGAGAGAGGCAGGCAAAGGGCACAAGAGGACGGATTATTAGGGGTCCTTTACCATAGACCTTTCCCAGAGCCCCATTTCACACTTTTCAATTTACTGATAATCCTGAAATGAAGAACTAGCACCATGTTTGGTTTGGATTGAAAATTCACCAGAAGTCTAGACTGTGGCTTCAGAAGTATACTTGGTGGATCCCAGAATAAATGAGTGATGTAAGTCAAACTGTCCTTTCAGATGTTATATCACACTGACAAGTCATGCTAGACAAGGTGAGTTATCTCAGTAATACCCAATTATTGAAGTCAAAGCACAGCACCTTTCCTATACACTACCTCATCTCCGTTAATCCTTACACACTGAAGGATGCACAGAAAGTGACTGACAGATGAGACTTTGCCCAGGCAGGTTCTGAAAGCCCAGACTTGAGTCTCCCCTCTGTGGATGTCAGTTTCCCATCTCTCTATAGGGAGGTGTGTCTTAGAATTCAGTTGGTCTCCTCTGTTTCCCTGCACAAGAGGACCCAGTGGACAACCTCTTAAGGCTTATTCACAGCTGTAGAGGATGCACTTTGGCTGCAGAGCCCTCAGCCATGAACTTTCAGAAGCCTGGAGGTAATTGCTACTGTTATAATCACTTTGGTAGTATAGGGATGCCCAAGTCCCTTGCTCTGTGCTTCAGAGTCTCGTGTTAATGGAAAAGCCATGCAGGGGCAAAACATACTCAACAGATTCACAAAGTCATCCTCACTGACAGTCCAGGACACCCAGAGCTGGCAGGAAGGGGACAGTCTCAGTCCAGGTCCATTGAATCTAACAGCTCTTAGGCTGAACTAGAGACCTGTGTGCCATCAACAGCTGGAAATTCAGAAACCTCAGGGATCACTGGAAGACATCCGCCATTGGGGGCTCCTGCCCTCCTAGTGTCAAGTATGAGAACCTTAGGGTTTTCCAGGGTACTCTCCTTTCCCTATTATCATTGGCACATAACTAAAGGACTCCAGTGGCTCTGAAACACAGTCATGGTACAGAAATCTCATTAATTCCCCTGTGCCTCCTTCCAAGAAGTTCCCAGTTTTTCAGCCCTCGCTGTGGAAAGCTGAAGCCCACCATATCCAGAACCTCCCCAGCCCCTTCCCAAAACTTACTCTGGTGTTTTCCCCAGGACCACTATTTCCATGTTTTCCAGGGAGACCTAGGACCAGATTCCTTCTGCCTCACTCTGGTCTCTCCATGCAGTCCATTCCCTCTCCCAAACAGACCTCTGAGTCTGGAAAGCATGTCAGGAGGCCAAGCTTGTGGTCACTGAACAAAGGACCTCAAGGCAGTCAGTGTTACTACAACACTAGTGACATCACTGTGGATTCCAAGAGCTGTTCAGGATACAATGGAATGCCCAGCATAGGGTCTGCTGATGTCATGGGGCACAGCCTTTGCCTCCTTGCTAAGTATTTCTCCATGAACTGACCAGAAATTGTGGTTTAATTTCCAGGAGTCTCTCTTGTGATACAGAGGAAATCATTCAGTACCTCTTCAATGCAAACCTAGAGATTTCTCTCTGCTTCATAAAAATTTTTTCAGTAATTCACCCATATGGCATTGAAGCCTCACTTTATAAGCACTGCCTAACATTGGCACTTAT